AACGAAAAAAAACCCACACCGCACGGACAAACCTAACAATTTTGTACCATATCTTTTATAATAATAGATACCACATCTAAATGCCAAACTTCTCTTTAAAAATCGAAAGTAATTCAGATATTTGCTTGATTAAACAAACTTCTATTCCATAGAATGAAAATTCAATTTTAACGGTAGATCTTTTTTTTATTTGCGGCGACGCACTGGAGTTCCGAAATGATAAATTAAGAAAGAATGAGTTAATGTTTTGAATGTTCGCACATTGATGGGTTTACTTTTTATTGCGGATGTTGCAAATTTACCGTGAACTTTAACTGTCTGTCGGACTGATATCAAATGAGGCGAAAGTCTACGAGTGAAGAAGAAGTTGTACAGGCCCAAATAATTGTGTGTGAACTACATGAGAGAAAAAAAATATAAAAAAAAACTTAATGACTGAATGAAATGTTTTACATTTCTTGAATATGAAATTGGATGTTTACAGTCGTACAAGAGCGCAAAGTTTGGACGATTTTACTTACATTTATATAAAAACAAGAAAACGAATCTTTTCTTTTAACATTTTGTAGACTGACCAATATTTTGTATCATTTTTTTTATTTATGTTGAAATAAATCTATCTATTTATATCTATCTAACATATCGAAACGTGTTATACGTTTACATGTATATTTTGTTGAATATTGTAACAAATTGTAAAATGCGGTATACTTAAAAAAAATTTTTTTCCAAAAGAACGCTTCATTTTGTTATGTAATTCTGTCCGATAAAAAACTTTTCTTAAAAAAAACAGACATAATTAATTCGGTAATTTCTGTGCTAAATTTTACACATAATCTACAATACAGGTGCATTTCATTAGCATGCCAGACTCCTCCGTGCATTCTGAACCAAGTACCCTTTCTATAAACGCAACCTCTTTAATTCAATCAAACTCGTGGCGGACTACGTGATTTCATAAAACGATAGTGAAATACCGATCTATGCTTTAAAGAAACACCTTTGGAAATAAGTCTAGCTCAAACAGGTCTGGAATAGCTTTACTTATCACATTTTACACGTGTTTTTTTCGTAACTTATCTCAATCAAGCTCGAAGAGGCAAATGTGGGTTAAAAGGTCTAAATCTAAGATGGCCTGTTACAAAAATGAAATATTTACAACACGTTTGAAATTAAGCATTAAACTAATGTTTGTATAGCACAGTTAGGTAAAGAATGTTAACTAACCGCTGAGCTTCTTTTCTTATGTACTATAAAGAAAAATATTTGAATAATTTAAAATGTAATTGGAATTTGATTGATAAGTGTGTATTGGCATTTTGACTGTTTTGATTTGTTTAGTTTATAATGTTTTAGATATGTCACAACTAGGGATAAACTTCTCATTCATATGTTGAAATCTAAAATCCTATGGTACAATTTGTATTTCTAGAAATTTCTAGTCATTTTCGTCTTTTTTTTTTCATTTTTCAAGCATTATAAATTATCAAACTAGGGTCAGTTACAGTAACTCAAATTTAAGAGTGGTTTATTGCCCACAAATTAGTTATTTATAAGCTTGAAGTGTCATTGGTTAGGACATCAAAGGTAATTTAGTCTCTCCAACAATAAAGAGTGCATTTACATGACCGGCGATTGTCGAGAAATCCCGAGGGTAATTACGGAAGGGCAGTAAATCACGGCCAAACTCGCCTGATGACCACAATACATCAAAAACACGCTCCCTTTTCTACCTACATGAAAGCGTTCTTTTAACGTATTACGTCATCTACGTTAGGTGCAAACACGTTTACGAACTTGCGGCTAATTGAACGAATAAAATGTTTACTACATTGTCTGAAGGTTACAAAATTGTGGTGAAAAACCGTCACGATAGAAAAAAATGCTTTCGATCTTCAATCTTTCAATTATTTTGTCTATCAAAAAGCTCCTAGATCTGGGAAGTGGGGATTTAATTATGAATGCTATGATAGCAAATAAATCCCATAAGGGCATTGTATTTTTCCTGCATTATCATATTATCACATTACCCCCATTTTCCGTTTCTAATGCATCCCCCATTAGAGTAAAATAAATATCGATTCTAATTCTACGCCCTGCATTGACCTAAAATTTCCGTAAATGCTTTGATAATTTTTCCTAACAAGTTTCGTCCATAGCTACCTGAGTTCGCTATTGACGTAATTTGATCATTAACGGTGTGGATCTGACAGCGCGCGCGCGACACGGCCATAAAATCACATCCATTCGATGACTTCATCGTTGCCAACGATTGCTGTCGGCGATATTCTAACTGCAACTGTCGTAGTCATTGTCAAATTATCGCCGGTTTCTGATGCCTCGAACGCTTTCAGCTGTCTGTCTCTAATGAATAAAACAATATATACCGCAAACAAAAGGTAAATTGAGGCTGATTAAATGAAACGCGTTTTCAGGCGATTTAAGGAGTTTTTTGTCAACCGTAACGTGGTCAGATTTTGTCATGATTTGTCCAGATAGGGATCGATCCGAGATTATATATAAAGATAAGAAAGTTGTAAACTGAGGAAAACAAGCTATAACAATTAGTCTTGGAACGAGATTTATTTCATAGATAACACGTAGGCGGAAAATTAATTGATTTTGTTTAAAAAAAAACGGATAGTGATATATGAAATTTAATATTCCGTTTTGATAAAAATTGGGACGCTTCTGCTTTAAGATGTGCAGAACACGCCTTTTCATTTATTCTTACAGCTCGAAATTAAGAAAAATTATCAAAATTATAGTATTTAAAAAAAATATCTCAGATTACATAAATTTTTTGTAGATATTAAGTATATATATTAAAGTATTTTGCCGTTGTATCAGCCATAATTGGATTTAAAATTTATTATTTATATCATTAAACAAAGTTTATTAATTGTTGCGAAACAGAATCTTATATTTACGGGTTTTTTAAATTATGTTTTTTTCCTTTTCTTAATAAATTAAAATAAATTCATGAAACGCAACGTAAAAACCTATTAAAATTTTAAAAGATATTAGAAAATAAAACATAAGTTATAAATGATAACTTATATTCTAGTCCGATATGGAAAATAAATAAATAAATAAAAACATCAATTTTATTACAATATTTCAAGTGTTTTTCAGTTTAGCAAATTAAATAAATACTTTTTTCATATTACCATATAAAATATGTGAATATTTATTAACTTGATTTTAGTATAACCCATACTTTTACATTTAACAATAAACATATACATGTAAGTGAATAAGCCATCGTTTTCCTTTTCATATATAAAATATTCTTTACAAGAAATCTATAAATTTAAATAAAAAATAATTAATTTTATACAAATACAAGTGTTTTCACCGAATGTCAATCACACACACTGTACATATTAGCTTTTTCATTCCTTTTTTTCATTTGGCAAGTCGGCCATGTTTTATTGATAATCTAATCATACAGACATTAAAGCTGATACAGATTTTGCCTTCATGTCGTCTGCGCGATAGAAAATAGTTTTGTCCAGACATAAGGTCCGGATAATTTACATGGAATTATTCAAGAGAATTTGTTTTCATGTGAAACGAGAAAAAGGAAACAACCAATGAATCAATGTCAATATTAATCATGTAAATGTTGCTGTGTCTAAAAATAGATTTATAATAATTCTGAAACTTTATGTCTAATTTCTTAAATGTTTTGTAATCATACTTTCTACTGTTACTATTTTATCATGGTAAAGTTATGTCTAAAGCATGTCATATTTAGCTAATACTGAAGTCTAGTTCTTAATTGTTCTTAATTGTTTTATAAACTTACAAGCTATTAAAGCTACCATTATTTATTATGTGACTGTTGTAATGTTTAAAATTAGATTTTAAAGTAACTATGTATTTAAGTTAACCTTATTGTTAACTAATAATAAATATTTTTATGTCTTTGTAATATTTGTTAAATCCAAAAACATATGTTTAAAATTTTACTAGTTTGACTGTGTCTTCTCAATCAGTATGTAAATATGTTATACAAACATATATCTAAAAGTAGTAAACCTATATATAGCTAATATATAATCTGATAATAGTTCAAAGTAAAGTTTTGTTTATCTATTCTCTTGAAATTTCACTTCTGGTTGGTCATGTACATGCCGTGTTAAACATTTTAGTCATGTATTTTTTGCATGTACAAAATCCGAATTTTAACTTAAACATAAAATATGTTCAACGTTTTGTGAAAAAAAATGGGTCTGTATATTCAATCGGTTATACAAAAAAATATGATTATTTTAAACAAACATGCATCCTGTAATGTCATTATAATCCCAGAATATAATATTACTACACGTCATAACAATATTCGATGCAATAAACGTTTTGATTTTTTTTCAATTTTCATGTCATGTATTTTAAGTACTGGTCATAAATAAGTAGGAAAACAATTTGTGTTTCAAATTAAAAGCAGCTGACACAGAGTTTTGTTACGAATACAGCCCATAAATTACCGTGACACCTGAGCGTATGAACACATATTGCCAGTTGTTTAAAAGTAGTTCGCTGTGCCATAAATCAGATTCATAATATTATCAGTTGAATTCGATACTCCCTGCCCGGCTCGAGCCTCGATTTCAGGGCTTGTTTATAGTCGGCCTCTAAAAGTATTAAAACAAATCACTAAATAATGTACAACATTTGATTCTGATGTTTAACAGAATTAAATGAAATTCATTCATTTAATATTACTTTTGTATTCTGAAATGATTAATAATTCATTCGAAATTTGATTTTATTTTTCTATAAAAAAAACTGTGCTTTATATAGAACGTATATTTGCTCAAAACCATGTTTTCTAACCATATTTTGTCGTCGTTATTTTCGTTGTCTTCGACGTTGTCCTCGTTATTTTCGTTGTCGTCGACGTTGTCGTCGTTATCGGCGTCATTGTTGTTGTTTACTATAAGAGAATGAAATTAAAATTTGTAATTCATGGTTATTTTTTTTTATTTTTACAGGCTCTACCAACTCAATATTATCCGAGACGAAAAGAAACAGAACGGCTTACACACGGCATCAAATACTGGAACTGGAAAAAGAATTTCATTTCAACAGGTAATTTATTTTTAAAATCATGAAATAAAACAAGCAATAACCATGTTCATGACATGATAAAATTCTATATATTTGAAACATTTACACACACTCTATTTCTTCTTAAAATATATTTCTACAAAAGGCGCAGTGTGGTTGTTTCCAAAGACAGATAATTCCATATTAAATATCAAATGTAACGAGGTACCTCAGAGCTTTGGTGACCATTCGACAATTATAGATAAATACCTAAAAATGCTTGTACAATGTCTTCTGTATACTGTACACAATACATTTGTTATCATAACAATTTTCTCTCGATTTTGACATATGACTACGCGACATAATAAATATTTGCACGACAAATTTTATATGTGTATGTAAGTGTTTATTGTATGATAATATTCTTCTACATAAGTCTCTTCGGCTTTGTTCTTTTTCGAGGAATAGTTCACAATAAATTGAAAATATTTTCAGTCATTCCTTTAAAATAGCTCACCTCGCGATTTTGTAATTGAAGTTGATTTGTTGTTTTTATAATAAATATAATTTTAATAGGAATATCATGTAAATAAAAAATTGAATGAGTACGCAATTTACAGTTAGATTCATGTACAATTTTCGGAAAGTTTTATATACCATTTGATGTTACATTTAATAGACATGTTAAAATTCAATACCTACATCTACAAGAAAGTAAAGTGTTTTATAATATTTAATTTTATATTTATTATTTACTTATTTTATATCCTGATTATTTCAGATATCTTACTAGAAGGAGGCGTATAGAAATTGCCCATTCGCTCGTGTTATCAGAACGTCAAATCAAAATTTGGTTTCAAAACCGAAGAATGAAGTGGAAAAAAGAGCACAAACTTCCAAACACTAAAACCAGACTTATGGACACAAGCAATGTTGGTCATTTCGACCCAAACAGCTTCTTAGCCATGCATCAAATTGGGCATCACATGGGCATGATGCACCCGGATCTTGGTGGGATGTGAGATGATACTGCAACTCCTTTCACGGTTGAATGGTTTTTGTAGTAACAGAGTACATTGAGAACAGAATTCCTCGTGTTTTTCAGTATTGATAACATTGATGTTCAAAATGCCGATCTGTTACCAATAAAAGCAGGGAAATATCTAAAATAAACATGGCCCTGGCTATTGGAGATGTATCGCAGATATATTCAAAATAGAGTGAAATAGATAAGCTGCGCTGTTAGAAGATGAAAGTTGGGCGATGGTATATACGGAGGTCATGATCTAAAACTGAAAACTAAATTTAATTAAATCGTATTGCAGAACTTGACTGCGTTTTTATAACTACACACTGGCTCTTGTTTTACTCGTGATGCCCACAAGATAGAAAAGATGACGTAATCAGAAAATACTGAAATAGCTTGCCGGATTTTTCATATTAATTTTAAAAAACTGCTTTAGACGAAAGCCGTTTTTTTTCATACTTACATCGTGAAATCCTTAAAGAGTGTTCACCTATTTTTCATTTCACATTTATGACTTCTCTTAAAATATTGAGATGTGAAAAAATGGAAGTGTTTTATAAATAACTAGTTTTCGTGTATGTTCATTTAGACATTTTAAATTAGACATTGTTTTGAAATTGGAAGCACTCAAAGGTATGTTGTGAACGGTACTCATTGTTTGTGTTTGCTTGTACATTGCATAGATATCTTATTTATATTTCATGCTAATACCAAAGGAGATTTTCAAACTTGCATTGTTTTAGACTTATAAAAACACTAAACAATCCACAAAGATAATTGTTTTAAAAATCATTCCGGCATTTCTTACAACGCCATAAAAAGGACAATGCAGATTAACAGCACCCGAAACATTTGTTATGTTTAAAACACTGATTGAATTAATGTACGTTCTTTATGTGGTCTAAAACAATGCATGTTTGTTTCACAAAACCAATTATATCATAAATTTGTGTATAAAATGGAATTATATTCTTCGAGTTATTGTTACGAGCAAGTTTTGCTCATAGCAAATCTGAATAAATTGTTGTAAAATTTGAACAGTTTCGCCATTTCTTTATATTTTGAAATGTTGTTAATGTAAACAACGCCGTAGAGTAAAAATGCTTTTCGCAATAAAATTGATAGCTCATTCTGTTAGACCAAAAATGTGATTAAATGTGTCAATTCAAACAACTAGTTCTATCTGCACCGATATAAAACTAGTACATGCAAATTTATAACAATGTTTTTAAGAAATTTGTAATAATATCTTATAAGGAGAACAATATAACAATTGTTTACAAATACTTAATTCATGGTACAAGTTTCGGTGCATTTGCCTGACTATTTGTTTTAAAATATTCTCGAAACAAGTCTTTTTCTATATTAAACCAATTAAAACAATGCGAATTTCAGGACCCCGTTTTCGCAAAGAAAAGATTAAATCATCCTGACTTGATTATCATTGCTTTATGAAACTAACACAAATCATTTAAAACAAAACATAAACAAAATGTAAAAGAAAATGCTGATTTATAATAAAACAAATTTGTGTTTTGATTAAACGGACGAATAATAATACAAAATACAACAATAATGCCAGGAATAGAAATAATGGACACATTTTAGGATGGAGCTTAATATTTGGATCAACTGAGAAATGCACTATTAAAACTGTCATAAATCTGCTATTTTAAGTATTCTTTTATTAAATTGGAATTGAAAAATAACTCCATTAGAATGTTTGAGTTTTTAATTTTTATGTTAATCTTGATCCAGATCTTGGAATCTTCGTGAACGCGGGACAAGGGTTTTCAGTGTTATTTCTTACATACATGTATTACACTTGCACCTATGAAATATAATGATTATTATGTAATATATAACTAATTGATCTTCGTATATAATAGTGCATGTACAATCTCACTTTATATTTCCAGTAACTTTTATTTACTGATGGCATTTATTTTGGAACACTTAAAAGCTCTGTTGCCTTTTTCACAGCGGTAAATAATTATAACTTTAATGAAAATACAAACAGTGCATTTATGTAATACTGTAAGATCACTTTGACATTGATGCATATGTGAACATTGATCCATATGTTGCAATGAATCAAATTAAATTACATCGATTAGCTATTACATTCAAAAAGAGGTCTTGCTTTGAATTAACATCGTAGAAAATCAAAGATGGCACGTATTTTTATGGAAATGTAAACATAGCAACTGTCACAAAACTGACAGATGGCAAAATGTAGACAGTGCAGTTTTGTAAAAAACATCGGTATATCTAACTTAAAGTATGCAAATGTCACATGTTGCATTTAGTCTTAAGCTATTATCGTTTAAGTTGCCAACTATAACAAACATGTTTCCAAAATATTTGATTAAGTCCAGTGCAACATTTTAAGGTCGGAATCAAACATGTATGAACCAAATCCCTTTTAAGATATATTTAAATAACTAAACTTTTAATTTTACTATACAAATGTTTAGTTTTTTTTTTAATAAAACAGTAGGCAGTTGTCGTGATTGAAACACGTTATACTTAAAAAACAAAGCTTTAACGTATACGTTGATACACTTATTTTCTTAATAACTTTCCATGCAATTTTCTTAACTACTTTTTTCTATTCTTTCCCTTTTTTCTTACATTTTTTCTCTCTTTCAAAACGCAGGCTCGTTAAAGTTTATCTTATCAATTAACACTTGAACCGTACGGTTGTTATTTATACACTAATAAAACACTAAATGGCGTTTTTATACTAATGAAGGACTTTTATGTGACACGATAAAAACGAAGTGTTTTTGGATTCATTTTAACACCTTAACCCTTTATATCAATCAATGATGCATTTTTCTATAATAAAGATAAGACTTTTGAAATTTTTCCACCTATTTAAAGTAGTAAGTAATGCAATCAAAATTGTAGTTAAAATTAATTTTAACTACATGTATATAGGCTTGTCATATGAAACATATACTATGCTCTTCTTTCGGTAAAATATTTTCATTGCGAAAAATGTATTGAATTCTAGTAGATTCTTCCTGAATATGTCTAATTTGAATAAGTGAATTGGGAAGCTGCATTCCCTATTACTTCTTTAATTAATTTGGTCTATTCTCATACAAACTGCCAGTATTTTTAATGACACTATGTAATCATATTGCGATTACCTGTTGTGTATAGAATTTTAAATGTTACATATTTTCTCTGTGTGTATTCAAAATATGTTTCTTTTACATTTCAAAAGAGACTGTATAGTAATTATCTTTTTTATAAATTTCAAATTTGAGCGTAATATTTCTTTAATCATAATATTTAGCCTAAAAAATATCAGAACAAATGATTCATCAAAAAGATAGTAAAATGTAATGTATGAAAAAAGTAGCATGGTCAATTACAAGTCATTTGTTAATAAAGATATTTTACATAATCCATTCTACAGAAGATAAAACATTATTTTATTTATGCAAATCCATTGAATAAGCCCCCCACCCATCGATTCAAAATAGGTTTGACTGATTATAATATATCACATGACTTCAATGTCCTAGCATCATGTTACATAATATAGACTTTAGAATGAGATAATTTTACATAAACATTATATCACAATTAAGAAAATTATGATGTTATTATGGAAATACTTTCCTTTAATGGTGTTGATACTGGAGTCTTCATATTGTGTAACTGCTAAACTACCCGTTATTATACTTCATATTTGTAGAAATCAACCACTTTTCAAAAATAAAATCATTTTTTATGCATGTATCTTATTTACATCTGATAAATATTCAGAAAACATAAATTTACATTTTACATTATAATTTTACATTATAAAACATTAGAATGTTTAAAAGGAAGAATTTCAAAATAAAAAGAAGCACACAAAAAGTATTTAAAGTATAATAAAGAATATGTTTTTTTTTCTCAAAAGTTAAGTAAATGTATGTTCAGTAGACATATGAAAAGAATCAAATGGTGGAAGATTAATTTACACCAATAATTGACGCAGGATTTTACTTAAATATTTAATAAAATTTATCTTTAATATAAGACATTGAATAAAAGGCGAATCCCGAAACAAAACACTCTGAAGTTTTTTATCATGCTGAAATTGGAAATTATACTTTCAATATCTGATAAATGATCACTAAGTTAGGGCTGTATAGCCAATATTTATTTTATTTTAAAAAGTCGTTTTGTATTTTTGTTACAGGCTGTGTGATTTTAGAGTTAATAAAATGAAAATTCAACATTTGATCTTACAAATGAATTCAAATGTAAAGTAAAAACAAAACAAACATTTTTTGAATTGCTATACGATAATAGAATATTGTATAGAATGATTTTATATCATAATGATTGGTGATTATTTGAAAAGTAACTTGTAAATGTTTAACTTCATATTGTATATGACAAACCTAAAAATGGCTATACACTTTAAGTGTAACTTTTGTTTACAGTGCAAACAATATTTACAAATCTACAGATATGAAACAAATAAATTAAGCAAATATAAATGTAAATAAATTATAAACATATCTCAGTAAAAAAGATAAGTTATGGGTATAGATATATTCTAGAACAAATCTTCATTTCTTCAGATAGTGTCTTGTAGTTATAAATCCTTGGTGAATGAAATAAACTGAAAAATAAAAATTACAACTCACAACTTAATGCATATGTTTAACGTATATACCCAAAGATGCCTCGAATATTTGTTTTTGATTATAAATTCCAAGGAATGTGTTCTCAAAAATCATTGTTATATAGACAACATCATATTAAATTAGATAACACTGTGCAATACTAATATTAAAGTATTAAATATTAATATTAAAGTCAAAACTAATTTGAAAGTTGTTTTGTACACAGTTGTACATACATGCCTATTAATTCAATATTGTATCAAGAAGAATAAATCACAGATTGTTCTTTGTATGTAATAACGGTATTTTTTCCATGGTGCAAGCAATTATATATGTACGATATTACAATAAAGTTTTAACTCAGACAAAAAAGAACGGATTATACAATATTTAAAAGATTTCTTAAAGCAGCGACTGTTTTATGAAAATAACGGAAAGTGTCTTAAATATTAAAAGTACAGGCAGTTGTTTATGTTATTTGGGTTAACCAAAAAACTTAAAATCTAAAATGAATTACTCAAAATGTGTCAAAATATACGTTAGTAATGGGGAAGAAATATGGTGACAAAATTTTTAGTCATGTTTAGCATTACACCTTGCTTCTGTTGAATTTTGAGTATCAACTCATATTTTAAAGCTGCATGCCTCTAGATGATTCGAAATATTTCAAGAAAAAAACAATCAAACTTGTGAAAAATGTACGAAAAGTAAAAAGTTTCAAGCAACAATTTACATGCTATTTCCGATTAATGACAGAATTCGTTGTATTTATCACAATATTTCTACTGCGTGACTAACTTACTCCCAGTAAAGGCTATTTTTGCATAAGTTTTGCATAATTTGATTTCTTTTCGGTAATTTACTTGCATTTGAAGTGCTGGTTGCAATTTGTAAAATACTTTCTTTGTTCATTTCACAATACATGTACTTACTTTTGATTACATTTTGCTTTAAACATTTTTTAAAATCTAATTTTCCCTTAAACATGATTTTACAAAGTCTACTATGTTTTTAAGGCATGTTGCTTAATCATTGCATCTAAATTAACTTGAGTTAACATGTACAAATAGAATATTGATTTGAGAAATGCCTTTGTAATTTCAACTTTGGGTAGAAAGATGATACCTTTTATGTGTATGCACGTTGGCAAAGCGATATGAAGCATTTAAAACTGTCGTCTTTTCTGTTGTAAAAGTATATCATTTTATAAATTATTATAGATTCAAATACTATTTAATCAAAATATAAATTGAAACAAAGAAAAAAAAACACATCGGAACTTTTTATTAACCAGCTGTTGAATTAGTAAGACCTGTCATTACTTACGTTTCAATTAATGTTTAAATTAATTGCAGACACTTTTTTTATCCTTGTTTATAGCAGGTTATATTTCCTTGCTGT